CTTCGTTTAATGACATCTACTTGTTCTTGATCTTATAATGTGACAAGGATCTATTCTTGATCTCGTAATGTGAGGAGGATTTGTTTTTGATCTCTTAATGTAACAAGGATCTATTCTTGATCTCGTAATGTGAGGAGGATTTGTTTTTGATCTCTTAATGTAACAAGGATCTATTCTTGATCTCGTAATGTGAGGAGGATTTGTTTTTGATCTTGTAATGTGATATCTATTACTGGATCAAAATGACGACTTTTAACCTTAAACAGCTTTAATAGTTTGGTAACAAAGTGTATTAAAGAAACACCGTTGATTCATCATCTGAAGCTCAAGACGAATGGTAAAATAATAGTAATTTTATTCACAAGCTTACTAACTTTATTGTACATGCATTTTATATATATCCTTTAATCATTGTTGAATAGAAAAATGTTTTTTGATTGGCTTTCTTAATGAATTAAAAGTTTTAGCTTACAATATAAGAAATCGCAATGGAGAAAGTGCTACGAAACTACTTCTACAAGATCTGTTACACTGTAAAACGGTAGTCGAACCAACAGAATTAATTTATATATTTAAATAATTATATAGGAGAAATTGCTTAAGTTTAGAGCTGTATATTTTTTTTCTCTAAAAAAAAATACTGAAATAAGGGCATAGAAATCAGAAAAAGCAGAGAGAACAACACATTAATACCTAGTGACACGGCAGCGATGATACAATACTTTCTTTACCCATTTTTAGTACTTGGTACACTAACCTGAATACGTCTGAAGGTTTATAACGCTAAAAACCGGGTTTTGATAACCGTGGTGGGCACAGCACAGATATATCATTGAGCTACAGATGTAAATTAGGTTGATCGCATGTTGTGTAAGGTGTTCCCGGAAGTATTATGAATGATTGGAAATAGCACATTTACAGCCAGTCTAGCAGAAATTGAGAAATACAAGTATATTGCAGCTTTCAAAATAGGCACGATGTGGATGCATGTTTAATAGGTATCACAGTGGTCGAGATAGTTTCATGGATATGCTGCTTCTAGGCATCGGTAATTCGAGTTTATCAGCAGTGGAAAAAGTTTAATGAATTGTCTGTTGAGAGGAAGAATGTTGACCGGAAACATTTAGTGACAGAAAGCGAAGAAAGGCAGTTAGACAGGATGGTAAAGCTCTACCGTCATCAAACAATACATTTCCAGTCGTAACTTGCGAAGAATGTTGTAACGAATGGACTATGATAGTAGAATAACATTGCATAAACCAGTAGACTCGGTTACCAAAAAAATAAAAGGCCTATAATGGTGTAAGGAGCGTAAACATTACACTAATGAAGAATGCTAACAAGTGATGCGGTCAAAATAATCAGGCTTTACCTATTTTTTGTATAAGTGGAAGATGACAGATTTTGGAAAAAAATCAACAAAAACCCAATAATAACCCACCTCTCTTGTGTGATCTCAGCTTTCCAGGTTTCGTGGTTTGGAGCATGTTTTCTTGGCATATCCTGAACCCCTTGATCCCTTTGGAAAATAGAATGAACGCCACGTCTTATCTCAGCATCATTGCTGATTCGTGCATCCAGTGATGCTTCATGTACACCCTAATGAAGAGGGCAACTTCTGAGACGACAATGTTTCTGTCTCCCGTGCCTAAATTGTGGATGCATGATTTGAGGAACATAACAGGGACTTCAGGAATCTCCTATGATCAGCACAATCCCTGGATCTTAATCCAATTGAACACCTATGGGATGGACTTGAAAGATACATTCGCCTTCACTATTCCCTACCTACTTTGCTCTTTTAATTCCGTACCGTTAAGACTAAATGGCCAAAACCCCTCGGGACATTTTCCAGTACCTTGTGGATCTTATGCTGATACTCTGGAAGAAGATAGCCCAACCCGTTATTTTGTATAGGCCTTAATATAAAGTGGCACGACCCTGTATGTGATAACAAGTTAACCAATCAGGATAAGGTAATAATTACCACATTCTATTGTTCTAAAGATGTTTATCAAGATGAATAAGGTAACACCGTTCTAATGCTTTATACATATAAGAAAACACTGAAATATCAGACCTTTTATTTTAATTAGTTTCTTCTACCGGTTTCGTGACTTCAAAGGTCACTCTTCAGGAAACAGTTTTACTGAGAATCTATGACAAAAAACATACATATACCGCTTTTCAACTAAACTTAAATAATCTAAATTAAATACACATACTTCCCAAATGTATAAACATATAATACAGTCCATGTATAAATGAAGTAGAAGTGTTCAAAAATAAGTAAAAGTAGTCTTTATACTCTTTAAATTAAAATATTATTTAGTTATATTTTTGCTTATTATTATTATAATGGAAATGTAATTTATTTATCATATAACTTCATACTTTTACTTACTTTTTCTTTTCTGTAAATCTTAGTAACTGTTTTCTACTATATATATAGTGAGAGAGAGAGCGAAGTCCTAAATTTAACTAAGTCCTACGTGTAAGCATGCAAGTTGTTTATCCTGCATACTTGATGTCTTTCATAGAGCAAAATGTAACGACGCCCTACCAGCAAGTTTATAAGCTATGTTCATTTTATGGACTTCTGTGTAACATAGAGCTAAATGTAACGACGCCCCACCAACAAGTATACACTTTTGTACATATCACGGGCTTGATGTGTAACATAAAACTAAATGTAATGACGCCCCACCAGTAGGTTTACAATTTTTGTTTCATTTTATGGACTTGATGTGTATCATAGAGCAAAATGTAACGACGCCCCAACAGTAGGTATACAAATGTTGTTCATTTCACGAACTTGATGTGTATCATAAAGCTAAATGTAACGACGCCCCACCAATAGGTTTACAAGTTTTTTCATTTCTTGGACTTGACGTGTATCATAAAGCTAAATGTAACGACGCCCCACCAATAGGTTTACAAGTTTTTTTCATTTCTTGGACTTGATGTGTATTATAAGGCTAAATGTAACAACGCCCTACCACTAGGAGTACACGTTTGTACATTTCACGAACTTCACGTGTATCATAAAGCTAAATGTAACGACGCCCCACCAGTAGGTTTACAAATTTTGTTCATTTCACGGATGTTGTGTTATTATAAAGCTAAATGAAGTTACGCCCATCAAGTAGGTATACACATTTTATTCATTTCACGAACTTGATGTGTATCATAAAGCTAAATGTAACGATGCCCCATCATCAGGTTTACAAATTTTGTTCATTTCACGGATGTGATGTGTATCATAGACCAAAATTTACGACGTCTCCACAGTAGGTATACAAATTTTGTTCATTTCACGGACTTGATGTGCATCATAAAGCTAAATGTAACGACGTCCCACATTTACATATTTTGTTCCTTTTTCGGACCTCGTGTGTATCATAGAGCAAAATTTATCGACGCCCCACCAGTAGTTTATAACTTTTTTTTTTCATTTCATGGACTTGATGTATATCATAGAGCTAAACGTAATTACATCCCGCACAGTAGATATTCAAATTCTATTTCTCTCACGAACTGGTTTGTGGTAACGCCGAATCTACTGGACAATATTACGGTTTTTATTGTTCATTCTTTCTTTCAAGTTATAAGCTTCTTGAACTGATGGTTTATGTACAAAATGTGGGCTAATGAATTGATATATTTTCTTAGATCTTTCAACATACCTTTTTATATACTCGTATAAAATTTTGTTAGTTTAGCAAACCCTTATTGATAATTAACCAAACTCATATAAATAATTACCAAAACCCTTCTGAGTTGTTATGACTTATTATCTTGAGAACATATGCATAAGTAATATCTTACTGTCCATGAAAAGCTTCTATAAAAATATTTCTTTATCTGGTGTTTCCTGGTGGGTTATCGGTAATTTTACGGACGTACAACGCCAAAATCCGGGGTTCGATTCCCCGCGGTAGACAGAGCGTAGATGACCCATGGTGAAGCTGTGTACTAAAACAAATCGAAACAAATTATATTGGGTTACATGGATATCTGCTTTAATTTCGGAAAACTAAAATATATCTTACATAGAACATTTTCAAGATTACATTTACGCGTTTACTAAAAGAAAATACTACGTATTCATAAAAAGAGCTCGTAGTTTAGGCCAGGTGAAGATGTGTGTAACAATTTTTATTATCACGGTATTAGTAGACAGGATATAATAACGTGGTGGTTGTTAATGTTTCTCCCATATCTTTGCGATTTGCTATAGGTTCATATTCGTTGGGAACTGAAACTCGAACCCTTTATTGTTTAAGGTTTTGAAAGTATAGCTGATAAAACAAATTTACCATCGGGTATAGCATAACAATAGATACATTTTTACCCAAATCTTTACGATTTGCTATAGGTTCACTGAGAATTGATACTCTTACCGTGTATTGTCTATGGTTTTAAAAGCACAGTGGATAAAACAAATACATCAGTTATAACAGAATGCTAGCTAAAATTTTGCCCATAACTTTTCCGTCTGTCAATTGTTTAATTATATTTTTCTCTCACTTCTGTTGTTCTGCTTTTGTGTTATTTCTGTCAGTGTCTGTTTGTTTTAGAGCAAAGACTCATTGGACTATTTGCGGCGTTCACCGCGAGGAATCGAACCCCAGATTTTTGCATTGCAAGTTCGTAAACTTACTGTTGTCCCACAGGGGAACTGCCAGTTCCTTAATCAGTTGTGTTATTGTATTCCGTTATTCTCACCGAGACGATAAACAACATACACCTCCTTTAAACGTTTAAAGAATAAAAAAAATTACGAATACAACTAGATATGCAGTAGAGTTCAAAGCAAGATTACTTAAAAATCTACTAACTTTTTTAGGAAATAGAGTTAATTTATCAAATAAATATAACGTCATGCCAAAATACAGACATACTAATGCCATGTTGACTCTTGTTACATGCATAATATTATATCTTTCTTCCTTCACTAGCTGGTAGATGTGTTTCACCAGACGTCGTGGTGAACGGATTAAGGATACCGCATGGAGAAGAGATGGATTTTAGCAGTATTCAGGAAATACATTTCTTTGGAATCCATAGAATACCTGAGTATAAACGTATCTGCAAGATAAAGTGTGTGGATGGAGCTTGGATTGGACCTTTGTGCACTATTGAAGAAAGTAAGTTTTCAACAGTTGTTATTGATCATTTCGAAGCCTTTTAATGAGCTCTCTTCCAGATATTAAATTGTATAATTACTTCCTCTATGCCTATTAATGAACGATTTACCAAACTACAGATAGACCTTGATTTACAGGAAATAAATTTGAAAAATCTCAACTCCTTTGGAAATATAGTTTAAGTTGTTTGTGTTTTTTTTTTAAGCAGACAATTTCTTTAAGTGAAAGACTGGATTTAAACTACAGAATGATCAGAAACATAAATCAGACGTGAAAACCCGAAAGATTTTCCCATTTAAATTTTTATATCCATTAATCAATTCTGATTTACGGATGCTATAAAAACATTTTTTTTTTATATACTAGACTTGTAATAGTGATACGTTTGAAAACTCAGTTAATTTACACAAATATTATTTCTATAAACCTAAAACTAACGTAGCAAGTGAATAGTATATTCTCTGCAGACCTGATGGTACCGGCGTGGTGTTTAGGGCGCTCGACTCGCAATCTGAGGGTTGCAGATTCGAATCCCGTCACCGAACATGCTCGCCCTTTCAGATGTGAGGGCGTAATAATGTTACGATCAATCCTACTATTTGTTGGTAGTAAAAGAGTAGCCCAAGACTTGGCGTTGGATGGTGTTGACTAGCTGCTTTCCCTCTAGTCTATTCCTGCTAGATTAGGAAAGTCTGGCGCAGAGCAGCTTAGCGCGAAGTACAAATCAAACCAAATCTGAGGGGACGTTTTACTTCACCCGTCGAAACTTCTTTCGCTCTTTCTATATGTACTACTTACTTTCTCGGATAACTTAAATTAATTGTAGTTTTAAAAATTGTTACCAGATTTTTTATTTGCATAAAAATACAACCGGTGTACGTTTACAGTTATCTTTTTTAAAGTTTGTTATGCATTTTTTATTTCCCTATGAATGTCTGAATTTGAAATAATATGTATTCCGTTTTAAAGACATATTAGCACAAATGACATATGAATTACATAGACGATATCGTTTATTAGTTCTATGATTTGTGAAAGGTTTTTAGGATAAATTTATTCCAATCAAAATTAAACGTAATGTTGTTTCGCTGACTTATAAGTGGTACAACCAACATTTATGTTTAAAGCTAAGCTTTTATTTTTTCTAATATTATGACATCTATTGTATATAGGTGGTTATAAGTTCTGTTAGGGTAGTTGAAATTCTATACAGGATGAACAGTTTAATGTACGGGAAAAATATTTTGCCTACACGCATAAAGGATCGATACAGTGCTTGATACTGTTTTAAGGAATCGACACTAGGAGCACCAGTGTAACAACTGCTCAATGTTACCAAACCACCATTTTCTGGTACTGTGGCCCGTAACAGCTGGTGACAAACGGAAAATGGGACTAGACATGATTGTAAGATACAACAAACGTGGAACTGTGGCCCAATCCTTCATTATCAGTTAAGGTTCAACTATCTCTAACCGTACCATGCGAAAGATATTAGAAAATTCTCAAGTGACATTCAACAACCAGTCTGAGAATCGCCAGTCTTTAATACAAATAGGAAAGCACGGCCTCAGTGGTGCTTTGAGCACGAATTAAGGAAAAGGGACAACTGGAAGCGTATGATATGATCAGATTAGTCATATCTCATTTCCTGTGCAACAAAATGTAAAAGCCGTATTTGTTTGATTGTTTATTTTCGCGCAAATGTTCTCAAGGGCAACCTACGCTAGTCGTCCCTAATTTAGAAGTTATATACTAGGGGGAAGACAGCTTGGGTTACTCTTTTACCAAAGAATAGTGGGATTAATGTCCATTATAATGCCCCACGGCTGAAAGGACAAGCATTTTTGGTAACAGGATTCTAACCCGCAGCTCCCATATCTCGATTTGAACACCCCAACCACCAGGCCAATATGAAAGGAATAACATGAAGTACACAACTCTGCTATTCCGACAGTGCAAGCTGCTGGAAGTGTTGGTTTGTTTGTTTTGAATTTCGCGCAAAGCTACACGAGGGCTATCTGCGCTAGCTGTCCCTAATTTAGCAGTGTAAGACTAGAGGGAAGGCAGCTAGTCATCACTACCCACCACTCTTGGGCTACTCTTTTACCAACGAATAGTGGGATTGACCGTCACATTATAACGCCCCCACGGCTGAAAGGGCGAGCATGTTTGGTGTGACGGGGATTCGAACCCGCGACCCTCAGATTGCGAGTCGAGCGCCTTAACCACCTGGCCATGCCGGGCCAGGAAGTGTTGGAAACTTTATTGTGGCAGGATCTGAATTCTTTGATTTTTTTATAATAGGACCAATAATGTCCAGAGTACATCTGAACGTCGTACGTTCACCTCACAATATTGCATATCTACTCTTACGGACAAGAGCTTTTGCTAAATGATAAAGCAATAATCTGTTGGACTCGTATTGTCCGTTATTGGTTTGATGAGCTCGACACTGAATTCGTTAGTCTTTCTTGACCAGCAGGGTTACAAACTTTCAATCCAATTTAAGCATCTTTAGGATGAGTATTTCCGTAATTCTCTGTTGATCTATGTGAACAACTTGCAGACATATTCCTTAACGAACGGCCTAATATTGAAGCAAGGTATTATTGTAGCGTGATCAAAAGTGACTAGTCAGTTTATATATCTTTGTTTGTGTATGTGAGTTCGTGCGTTGCTGAGTCTGTACGAGAATTAGAATGTACGTTTCGTCTTATACAAACACTGTATATATTAAAATATTATATTGAAATATTAATACTATAAAAGATCAAAGTTAAAGTTAGTGTTCTCTTTACAGCTAATGCTGGAACGTAAATGGAAACTGTTTTAAGAAAGGATTTCAAGGTATATGATTCAGCATAGATTTCTTTGAATTCTCCTCGATATCGTAAACCTTTTATACGAAAGTTTTCTGGAAGTCATTAAGGAAAATAAAATAATTTTCTATTGCATTTTAATATAATTCTCTGATGATTTGCAAAGAGGTTTATCAGAAATGATGGAAAACATCTGTAACATCTATTTCTTAAGGGATTCAACTTCTTAGGATTGATGATTAATTCAATTGCCAGATGGCCACTTCACAGTAACGAGCGTCAACATATATCCAAACATTTGTTCGAAATGATTAATTTCAAGGAACTACTTATTGGAGCGTTTAAAAATTATTGACTGCTTTTCGAGTGTTTGCTTATATAAAAAAAATAAGATAAACTTAAAATCTTAACAGCATTAGAAAATCACAAACAACAAGCGATCTACTATACAGCCAATTAAGCAATAGAATGTTTATAACAAGTTTGGGAACGGTTCTACGAAAATATTAAATTTTTGTAGTTTTTAATCATTCAGCTCGTTTCATCATAAATGTCAGCTTAAAATATTTTGTTAACGGCATGTTAGTTTGAGGGAGCTCGTTCACTTTGAGTGTTTAGTATTATCAATTAAAGTAATTATTATATGCTTGTATCATAACAATAGTTGTTAATCTGATCCGATTTGGGAATATTTTAGCTTGAAGTTATCTGTTTTTCCTCTTTTTTATGGAAACTGGTATTTTTTATCTTTATTTTTCTTTGAGATAGTTTCTCTAACTTGAAATCGGTTATCTTGAGGAGTGTGTAGTCGTATTTCTTGAAGCTAATAGTTCCAACACGTTAAATAAAAGGAATTCATAAGAGCAGGTTAATCGCAATAAACCTATTCGACCATTTTATTCATATGTATCTGGGATTTTATTCCTACTTCAGACAAGAATACTCTCCAGCCTTTATTTCGACAGTGTTTCCTGAGGCCAGCAGATGCTGAGCTGATAATAACCCACGCAGGAATATCTCTTACAGTCGATCAACAAATCAAACTTCCCCATGGCAGTATACTGAGCATGCGCTGCAGCGAACTAGGGATGTACAAGTTTGTGGGTAATAGAACCGTACAATGTGTGAATGGACACTGGAGCTCTACAATACCACATTGTGTTCCAACTACATTACACAGGAATTTTTCAGGTGTGTTTTTTATTTATTTAAAAAAAAATAATGTGTTTGTGTAGATACAATAATGTCAAACCTTATAAAGTTCAAGAATTCATAATGTTGGTTGAATTTTGTTGTTAAGTGCAAAGCTATACAATGGGCTATCTGTGTTGTGCCCACCACGGGTTTTGGCATTATAAGCCTTGAGACTTATCGTTGAGCTACTGATTGGTTAATTCCATAACATTTCTTTTTTTTTAACGTAATTCTGCACAATGTGCTTCCTGCATTGTGATCATCACAGAGATCGAATCAAATATCTTAGCATTATAAACAGTTTGTTTGTTTTTTCGAAGTTAAGCACAAAGCTACACAATGGGCTATCTGTGCTCTGCCCACCACGGGTATCGAAACCCGATTTCTAGCGTTGTAAGTCCGCAGACATGCCGCTGTGCCAGTGGGGGCAAACTAACGGGAAAATTATAGTAGTACAAACATTATATTTCATTATAATGGACATAGCGTGTATGTCAGTATCTACGTATGTAACCAAAAATTACTGCCCCCTCTATTGAATGGAACCACAACAAAATTCCATAAAACTTTCACATTTTGGGTATCCAAGATTCAGACAATTATTTTTATATTTGTGATATGTGCAACAACCATTTATTTATTATAGGACAAAATTTTAAATAAAATGTACTCTCCTCACAACAAGAACACGACTTTAACTAGGATTGTAAGCGAGGGTTTTGTTATATCTTTATTGATGTAATTTTTAGATGTAGTACTGAGAAACTGCTGTTCTTTAAAAAAATGTTTACCACTTTTAATATATAAAAACATTACAGTTTATACTGAAAAATTCATGAAAATTTTGAGCTCTGTACATTAAATCATTTTGATGCAATGCGTTGTGTATGACTAAAGAACACAATCCTAACATTTTTCCCGTGCAGTATTTCCAAGAAAAAAAATATTTTTTTAGAAAATGTTCACCCTTTCTAAATTTTTTCAATGAGGTATGAATAGTAGGGTGACTAGTATTAAAATGTTTCAAATGGCAATGTTATAATAAACGTTAACATTGTAAAGGCTTAACTCGGTAACTACTGTCAGTAAAACAACGTTTTAACAACTCAAACTATCTCACTAGCAATGATTTTATTCATAAGTAATTCGACTGCTTAACAGAGGCATGGCTCTAAGTCTGTTATTAGGACTTGAAAAGTCTACTGTTAGAGCTAAGAATAAGACTTTAACTTTCAAGGATCTATAGTTAGATGTTAGAGTTAAAACTCTAAGAGCCTGCTGTTAGAACAAAGAATGAGCCATTTAGAGTTTACTGTAAATGAGACTTCTGGTGATTAACTTTAAAGTTTTATTAACTAATTATTTGTTGCAATTTATTTATATTATTATTGTATGTATTAAATATATATTGTTTTATTAACTGTGTTTACAAAAACAGTAAATTTTAGTATTCATTTTATTCAAAGCTTTTTTTTTTCAGACTCCAAGATTGGGCTGTTTACATATGTTAAAGTTGTGATAGATATTCTTTCAGATGAAGCACCGCCCACAATTACATACCTCGTGGCAGCTGGAGAAGTAGGAATAACAAAGCAAGGACAACTTGTAATCTTACCAGAAAGTATCGTGCATTTTGACTGCTTGTTTCGTCGTAACCTTGGTAACCCAGAATGGACCTGGACAACTCAACAAAGGTATACTTATGTAATATATTGAACAACCCCATTGCTTATCCGCAATCTGTTGAGAAATAAGGTTTCTACAGATTATTCAGGTCATATGTAGCCAAATGACTACTATACTTGTAATTCTCATGACTTCCACAAAAGTTATTTAAAGTCTGTGATATAGGCCCTTGGACATTTGGAATTTCTACGATTTTTTTTAGATTTTATAAAAGAGATCACTGCATCTACGAGTTGTTTTTGTTTGCTGTTTAATACGTTAACTTATTATTTTATTGCTAAAAATCACAGATTATCGAAACATTCTTTGACCATAAAACATTCAAATGTAACATTTACTTGCATTTTGGCCAAATGTACAAAATAAAATCATACTAAAACTTTCGTACATCAATTAGACTAAACCTGATCAGTATTTTACACATGATTTTACTTTTGTTTCCAGTTTCTGTGCTATATGTGATGTTGATAAAATGTTGTATGTTGGTTGAATGTAAAAATCAGCCTTCACCCATGAAAGTCGTCTTTACCCGGGTTATAGTTTATGTTTTTTTACATGCGTATTTCAATCGCTTTTATTTGTTATTTTCATGTCCATTAATGTTATCTTCTCGCGTTTATATATTTTTTTCTCTTTACCTCTGAGATAAAACTGGTGTAATTTTGAAGGTTAAGGTTTTGCGCACTCTGAGTAATCCAATAATTTTTAGATATATGCATGTTTTTCGTTCCTAACTGTCTAATTATTAAAATATTATATATACTATTGTTATCAACATTTGTCTAGAATTGTTATATATTACTTCTACTTTTACCAAAATATAGATGGTTATTTTTACATTAATGCAGTTGTATCACCTTCCCTGGTACTTTGTGGATCTCTTTAGGACCATTGAAGATCCAGAGTGTAGCATTCTAGAGTGGATGATGGGAGCTATACTAATAATAAAGATTGGATTTAGTACAGTAATACCTTAACATCTTGGTATTTATGTCCAAACATCATATTGGTGGTTGGAATGCTAACTTCAAAGACAGTTTTGCTGTCTCCTCCATTTATGTATTATATTATAATTATGCTATTGTTTTTATTTATTTATTTTTTGTTGGACGTTGTGGGGTAGAACACCCTCATCTGTTCCTTTTCTTTTGTGTTGGGTCCGTGCGGAGATACATGCAAAGTTGCGATTTCACATTTTAGGTTTTGCTGTTTTTATGGGCGTTTTTTACAATTACGTATTAGGGAAGCAACTTTTCATGTCCTAAGATAACCTTTCATTAATCGTGAAGTTACATAACTTCCGTCCATGGGGTATTTCTATTATATAATATGCTAATACAATAGGGTATCGACGTGGATGCGAACCATGGCGCCATGGACGATATATCTAGTATCGATATATTTGGCTCATGACGAATTCTTGGCAATTACACTGCACAATTCTATTAGTGTAGCTAATTGATGGAGGATTTTTTTAAAAGCAAAGCCGCAAAGGGCTATCTACTGTCCACTGCGGGGAATCGAATTCTGGATTCTAGCGTTGTAAGTTCGTAGACTTACCGCAGTCCCACCAGGGGACGTGGAGGAATAGGCCTTACCCTTTCCAAAAAAAAGAAAAAAAAGGATATTTATATATGGTAGGCCTATAGAGCAGAAGGACATAACATTTCGAAGAAAGGAGCCTTCATGGAATTGAATAAACTCCCACAGGAAAACTTTTAGAACAACAACGAACTTCGAAACACCACCCCAAGACAATGATGAGCAACGATCACATCCACAATATGAAGAGAACTTTGTGATCCAGAAAGACGTTAAAGTGAAGGTGTGCATGTTGCCTTGTACCGATAACGTGGAAGTAAACTGTGACCTGAAGGCTTAAAATACAAAAGGCAACAAGCTTTCAGCGATATATCGAAACAAATACCTATTTTCTACAGAAGTGACGTAAACACTGGATTGCTGCAATACTATTCAATCTCGTGCATCTCAAGTCTTTAGGTGCAACTCCGATGGACTTTTGTACCTTCAGTTTGCTTAAAAATATTCTTGGAAGCTGACGAAAGACATGGTGAAGGATCTGTGAAAAGTTTGTCAAGATGTATGGTATAAGACTGATCTTACCATTCTTCGCGGAAGTTTTTTACAATGTGAGACAATAGTGTGTAATCAGGATCATCAGCCTGAACTTTGTAGATGGTGGAGGAAGTAGTTCCGAGGTCAGAGCGGGATCTGGAGCACGACTCTTATAAAGTGCGAGTAACTCTCAGAAAAGATTTCGTTTTAATGAATCGGTAATCAATTTCTCTTGTATTTATCTGAAAATATTTACATTTATACCTACATTTGGAGTTTATAAATATATAATCCTGCCCGAATTTTTTTAGGACTGAAACATTTATTTTTGGACTTTTATTAGACAGTATCCATGTGGTTGGGCAATTTCATCGAAGGAACGTAACTGGAAGTATCGGTTGTCCATCGTTTATGCTAATATTCAAGATACTGGAACTTTTGCGTGCAAGACGCCTCGTGGTTACAGCAACTCCATTGATGTTGTAGTAAAAGGTAAACTGGATCGTTCACGAATATTTTTTTTCAGCCCTTTTCAGAAAATATAAAACTTTCTATAACTTTTCACAATTTTACTTTTTGGTTAAATCATATAATTTTTCTTGTTTCATTTTAGCACAGTTTGTCTTCTTTTTTCTTTCTTACAAGCTGATAAAACTGGTGTTTCCAAATCTATGATTAAATAGTTTCCAAATACGAAATTAATCTTGGATTTCCAGTAGTATATTTTCAGTTAAGACCGAGGCTTGGTCTACGTATAGATGTGGTTTCTCTAATGCGGAGATCCTTTTCATTCCGCGTTATAACAGTGGTATTAATGTCTTTGAAGCCGTAAGTAGGTTGCATTTATGAAAAGAAGCGAGCTGTAATAAAGATCCCAGTCGAAGGAAAACCAATACGATAATATTAAGTTTTTATGAAGCGCGTGTTTATAGAAAGAAAGAAAAATCCTTACCTTATGATGATAATTATACCCATGTTCAATAATGTATTGCAATAAGCGCAGTAATATTTACAGAATTATGATATTCAATAAAGATAACTTTTTAGATATTTCAAGAGAAGTAGGTGTTACCAGGTAAAGCTTGATACTGAACTGTCTACAGAACTTGTATACGTATTGCGTGTTGCTATCTTTTGTGAACTGACTGCAGTAATTTCAGTAGATATTATTAAAGAAACAAAAAAGATTATTTTGAGTTTAACTGAGTTCATAGATAGCTGGCATCTGAAACAGCGTCATACAAGCATTCTTTTCTTGAAGCCTTACATACTTACTTTGCTGTTCTCAGGTGTTAGCTGTCCACCAATTCAAGCTACTGACCACAAGCGTTTAATGGCTATCGAAGGAACTCGACTTCACAGTAAAGCTAGGTTTGCCTGTTTGGAAGGATATGTACTTCGGGGCGAAGAGGAACTAACTTGTACAGCATCAGAGGAGTGGTCTCACGTGCCTCCCTTGTGTCAAGGTACATCAAGTTATTCACCTGTATATATCTGTCTCATTACACAGGCGAACGAAGCAAAAGTATATGCAAGAGCTGAGCATCATAATTACATGGGTATCGGTGGGGGTTATCCCCCACCTCTCAAATGTCATTAAGAGACTTCAAATGGGGGCCATCTCTAAAATATACACGGTAAAACGCGGACATGTACTACATGTCAGCTTTGCAATTAATTATCAATAGATATTAAACTATCTCAACTAGGCATATGAATATTCATCTATTTAGTTAGCTAGCAAAAAAACGCATACACTATACGTAGTCCTGATAGATGTTAAAATTTCATTGATTATGTTTACAAGCATATTTTAGTAAATATTACTATATAAACTATGCAAATCCCATGAGAAGTTCATCGAATACAATATATATATAGGAGGTATAAAATAAATGAACACGATGTGATTATACATCTAAAAACAACTCATCCTATGTCACTTATACTCCCAATATCATCAGAATTTTGGATCTATAGTTGCAGAATTCATAATTTTAGAATGAAGTTGAAATATCATTAAATATATATTTTTTAGCAGTAGGAGTCTAAACTCATTTTCTATACAAACATATATATATATAGAAAATTTTTGTCTGTCTGTTTGTCCATTATGTGACTACTCTTAGGTTGCTGAGCCAATCTCAACCAAACTTTGTGGGATAATAGTTTGGAATAAATGGCGCCACATCCTTACACCAAACAAAAACTTTATTCAATGAGGGACCGTGCTAATTATACCAGTAGAGGGCACCAGTAGCGATGCGGCCCTTGTCTATAGTCAGATACCTGGATGTTTATATTCTTCATTTTCTTTGTCTCGCCATGTTATCATGCTTTCTGTTTGATTCATAAATATAATATAATAATAATAAATATAATAGTTCAAAAATGCCTCAAACGACTTGTTGTGTGCTTGGATGTTCTAAGAGAGGTGGTCATTCGTGGTATTCAAATCTGGAATTGTCTAGAAAGTGGCTTCATGCGTTCAGACGGGATCAGTGGAAACTGAAGAAAGAAGTTGTTGTTTGTCATGACCACTTCATGTTTGACATCTATGTATCTGAAACTAGCTATGGTAGGCCTATGTTTAATAAAGTTTTCAATAATTCTGCTTTTCATTTAGAAATGTCACAAGTTATTCCCATTTTATAACCTTTTTATGTTGAGTCAAGTATTAAAATTATATTTTCAAAATACACTCCCTCCACCACGTCCCATTTAGCTAAGCCTAGTCTACAAAATTGTTTTTATAGGCCTATGACTAGGCTTATGCAATGCATGATACATGATAGAGACTAATATTTCAATAATACTTACCCTGAATGTTAATATCTATAGTAGGCCTGGAAAGTGAATGTCAGTAAATATTATAAAATTAATATACGTATATATTTATATTATTTTGTTGTTTGTACCTTCACCTCAAAGAAGACAAGTAAAACCAGGTGCCGTTCCAAGTGTGTTCAGCTGGTACACCCTTCGGGGTGGATTCCTGTACGTGGTGAGGGAACCTTCTAGGGAAGGTTTTGTATTTTCAGTTACCTCCTCTGGGATCTAAACATCCACCCACGTGTTTGCCATGCGTGGCGACCCATGAAGGGGAGGAGAGGATCCTGGTGTTTGAGTGGTGTCTGAGGCACTGCAACACACCACTTTGTCCTTGAATTCATGTAGACGGGTGGCCTTGGGGTGGCCCTTCAGGGTCAATTAGCTGGTCCCATCGGGCTAGGGTCAACTGAGTACCAATGTTGGGCATTCTGATCGGGTGTTGTGGTCTTTGGGTCTGATGCTGGTGTTTGGGTATAAATCCCTGATTTTCTATAACACAACATACGTTTTATATAACTCAGAGAGTGCATTAGCGCTCTTTGTGTAGGAATGCAATGAAGTTTATACTCCAACAGCCACCATAACATTGAAAAGCCATTTCTTGAGTTATACCCATTTCTTACTTTGACCCGTGACCTTAGAACTTCGGCCCGTAAGACACTTCTGTGGCCAATGACCCTCTATTAATTAATAACGTGAAATAGCTTGGAAGAGCTGGGCATTGAAAGCGGGTAACCCATACCACCATTACTTTGGCCGCTACCTCTTCGTACAAAATCACACTGACCATCGCACAGTGTATACTATGTTTTAAGTGTATAGATAGTGAGTTGGCTCGGCATGGCCAGGTGGTTAAGGCACTCGACTCGCAATTTTAGGGTCGCGGGTTCGCATCCCCATCCCACCAAACATGCTCGCCCTTTCAGCCGTGGGGGCGTTATAATATGACGGTCAATCCCACTTTTCGTTGGTAAAAGAGTAGCCCAAGAGTTGGCGGTGGGTGGTGATGACTAGCTGCCTTCCCTCTAGTCTTACACTGTTAAATTAAGGACGGCTAGAACAGATAGCCCTCGTGTAGCTTTGCGCGAAATTCAAAAACAAACAAACAAACATAGTGAGTTCTTAAAGCTTACACAAAACTTTTGGTGAGGTAATAATGAATACTGTAATAATATCTTATGTTATAAATAAATTATGTGAAACTTAGGATTTTTGTGTTATTTATCATAGGATCCACCCCCACATTTTTTTAATTCATAGGCCGGACAAAGGACGGTGACCTGAGCTTGTGTTTTTATAAAACAGTTGAAATTATTAATTTATTTTACATAATTGTCATTGGTTCTGTGTTTCATAGACATTGAAAGGGTTTTTTACACAAAAGTTGTTTATGCATATATATATATATATATATATACTTAAGAAATGACAGAAATTTGAAAAGAACCATCGTTTTAATTTTGCGCAAAGCTATTCGAGGGCTATCCGCGCTAGCTGTACCTAATTTAGCAGTGACAGATTAGAGGAAAACCAGCTAATTAACACCACCCACTCTTTGGCTACTTTTTTGTCAACTAAATGTGGGATTGACCGTCACATTATAACACCCCCACGGCTAGAAGGACGATCATGTTTGGTGACGGGGATTTGAACCCGCGACCCGCAGATTGCGCGTCACGCGCCCTAACTACCAGGCCAAACCAGTTTTTAAATTTATAGTTACAGTTTTTCGTCATTGATACTCTATTTCAAAGCATTAAAAGTTTTGTTTTTCACATAAAAAATACTCTAAGCAAAGTTTTAGGGTAATACTTAAAAGATTGGAATTTAAAAAATACTCTAGAGATTGTTTAATTATATATTTGAAACCGCATTTTTCAAAATTATATAAATATATTTTTTGTAAATTTGTATTATTCTCTATTTAAGAAAAAAGATTCATTTATATATTAAATAAACCTGAACACCAGTCAAAACTACCTGGTATTAAAAAGCGCCTGGAAATGTGATGAATTATGACACTTAAATCATTACCTCACGAATGTTAAATTTTTGTAGTGAATGGTAAATGATTCAATTTCAGCTATTCAATGTCCACCTTTGGCAGTGGAGTCGCGCCATCTTGTGGCCAGCACACGTAATCGTACTTTCGGCACACGTGTCAACTTCATCTGTACTTGGGGCTATCGATTAGTTGGCTCTTCATCATTAAGATGTCTGAAGAACCAGAGATGGTCAGATTTTCCTCCAGTATGTGAAGGTATGCTTAAACAAGTATAATATTCAATTAGTTAACATTGTACTGAATATGCCTATTGTGATCAATATCTCGATATTCTGAAAAAAAAAAGCTTCTCAAGAGTGTTAGAAATTACATATCAAAATTCCAGAGAAAAATAGTGATAATACGAGAGAGTTTTAGAGAAGTCTTTTTGAAATATAGTGTTGATAATCAGTATATGTAAGTAAACAATATCTAATTTCTAAACCACTAATGGAAGAGTTTGTAGCATATGATGCTTTGTCGCGGATTGGCTCTTGGTGGAGTTCTGGATTTCGGAGTTGGTGATGGAAGAGTTTGTAGCATCTGATGCTTTGTCGCGGATTGGCTCTTGGTGGAGTTCTGGATTTCGGAGTTGGTGAGCCGAGTTCAAATACGTGCGATACCACATAATATCTCAACTTTTAGCTGTAACTTCGTTATAGGAGGGAAAGAACCTTAAACTGATTGTTACTTATTTCATTCATAACTTCTATTGCCAAACATTGTATATAGATGACTGAAAGACAAAAATTCTGGCAAGCTAAAAAAAACAACATTTTTTTAATGATCTGTTCCTTAAAAATAGAAAAAGCAAAAAGGAAGATAATGTCTAATCATTTAGATAATTTCCAGCTTTCTTCGGCATTACGTTAACTAAAGAAAAATTATGTTCTTCAATCCTGTGCTCGGGTACTTTTATATATTTTAATTGGTATGAAACTTTTAGACTTTTGAATCAAAAGTAATAATACTAATATATATATATGCAAATGTATAATTATCTAAGTAAGCTACAAAAACATTTTTAAACAGATTACATCAAAGGGAAGGTTTGTTTGTTATGGATTTCGCGCAAAGCTACACGAGGGCTATCTGTGCTAACCGTCACTAATTTAGCAGTGTAAGACTAGGGGGAGGGCAGCTAGTCATTACCACCCACCGCCAACTCTTGGGCTACTCTTTTACCAACGAATAGTGGGATTGACCGTCACATTATAACGCCCCCACGGCTGAAAGGGCTAGCATGTTTGGTGTGAGGGAGATTCGAACCCGCGACCCACAGATTGCGAGTCGAGCGCCCTTACCACCTGGTCATGCCGGATTGCGAGTCGAGCGCCCTAACCACCTGGCCATGCCAGGCCCTCAAAGGGAAGGACAGTTTGAATTTTACACAGCACATGCAAATCATAGATGAAATATAATTAGATTTAAATTTGTAGAACACTGATCGTTTCCTTCCTAAGTTATCGTTTTAACTCAGTATCTTCGCATGCCAATACACTATGTTACAACTAAAACTGCAACTAGAATATTGCATATATAAGCAAATAAATAAATGACAAACATATACCGACACCTCAAAGAATCGGAGCACATTACATAATGACCCACCCCATCCATGATTTGTGCCCCAGTGTTGGATATTTGTTTTGTGGCTGCGTTTTTATTTGTTCATTTATTTATTTATTTCCTTCTCTACAAAATTAAATCTAATTATGTAAATATGTGTATATATATATATGTCTCTGTGTGTGTGTGTGTTTTCAGTATATACAAGAAATGATACAGATATTTCCAGTGCATGAAGTGTTAGATGATTTATAGGTTATTAGAATAATCCGTTTCGTTATTTTTCTATGAAGAAAACGTCATTTTTCCGTTTTCAATTTGTGTACATAAATGTGAGACATTTGATTTTAATGTTCCCGTTTATAATATTTTTTACGAGTTGACGCTATTGTTGAGAACACAACTTTACACGTGTACCTTCAGTAATAGTATGCAAGCCGCCAATACCTCCAGAAAATGGTCGAGTTTTAGACGGAGGGCACCACCTAGCGGGAGACATGGTAACTTACACTTGCCATATTGGATTTGTTCTTATTGGAAGCTTCATGGCCATGTGTAACGACAAAGGAGAGTGGTCACACCCAACACCAATGTGTAAGACACTTGAATCATTAATTCATCTGTACGTAAAATAAAACAAAAAACTAATTATGATGTATCATTAATTCAGTCTTTCTGTTATATATTATTGTAGCTTATGACTTAAGATCAATCAATTCGTCCAACCAATGAAACTTAGTGTTTCTTTTAACATTAAATACATCCTATAACGTTTTCCTCAAATAAATGAAAGTTTTAACTTTAAATGTGTGTAAATGTCTTTGTGTTTAGAATTTAATTTTTCTATTCATTTTAGACCATTTCTATATATTAACAAACTACTTGTTAACTATGTAAGTAAATGGAGAATAATAAATGATTATAGTTTGTTTTTGATAAACATTCTTAACAGCAAATTCTTTCGAAACTATAAAACCTTGTAAACCACATCTCGTCAAAATGTTCTTCATATCATATGCTGCCAACATACTAAAATTTAGAATCCCTATAATGATATTTTGTGGTTAACACTGATCGTTTCCTTCCTAAGTTATCGTTTTAACTCAGTATCTTCGCATGCCAATACACTATGTTACAACTAAAACTGCAACTAGAATATTTTGATCAACTTCATCCCATTTCTTCTGCAGCTAGTTTAAGGTCGAAAGATCGTACTCAAACAAGTTTCGAAACAGAAACAGGTGAATGAAGTCTGTTAATACATTTCAAATGACTTATGACCAGACATCTTTAAATGTGTTATTTTTTTATATTTGTTATTCAGGTCGACGTTCTTGTGAATACCCTGGTCAACCACCTAATGGTTATGTTGTGCCAATCAAATTTCAGTATGATATTGGTGATTTTATTGTTGTGAGATGTAACAAGGGTTTTCGTCGACTTGGGCCCAAGAACCTTCGCTGTGATCGGTCGGGACTCTGGTCCAGCCATCTTCCTCATTGCAGACCCTACGACACGTAATTGTTTAGTGACTGCTATAATTTTCGTATTGTGACTGGCGCCATCTTGTGAGAATGTATAGATATACGAAATGTGACAATATAACGCAATTGATATGTTTCGTTACTATGTATACATAAAGTGTCCATACAACAGTTCCATTTGATCTCATTAGTATTTTTGTTTTTAATGATGATACATAACAGTAGTATCTTCAAAAGTTGATGAACTCTAATTTGTTCTGTTCTTTGCTTCTGATCTATGTGTACTACTGTATATTTATAATGTATTCTAACAACTTAGTTTATTTAGATCTAGATAAAACTGTGTTTTGATTTCTATTGTTTGTGTTTGGATTAAAGTTTGCGAAATTCGTATAACTTTATTTTTCAGCTATACTAGACGTTCTATGGATATGCTAAATTTGGAGTTATTTCCTAAGATTTTTTCATAAGAAAAGAGTGACATAACTCAACTTAGTGGAGAGTACACACGGGTCAATATTATAATAAGTATGAAGCTTCATCCGGAAGGTCAAAGTCAGAAAACACAAACTGCTAAACTGCTTTTTGAAGGTCAAGGTCAGAGAATACATGTAATCCAAATGCATGAAATTACTTCAAAAACAAAATTCGTAAAAACAGAAACTCCATCTAAGACTTGTTTACGTTTTTCTTTTGCTCGTACTTTTAGTAATAAAAATAGGAATCCCATGTCATTTTTCCTTTGGAGAAGACCTTTGACCTTATTTATTCACACTTTATCAAATATACCACTGGTTTGCTATCGACCTTTCACGTAAACGTTACTAACTTCTAACGCCAAAGTCCTTTCAGAAAAATTCACAGACACACACTCAAGCTTAGAATAAAGCTTCAAACTCCAATAAGCCGTCGCCAACTCAATTTGATTTTAAGACATTAAGATCGTTCCTCTTAGACTTAAGAGCCAGTAAAAGAGTAATATGCTGGTATATCTAATTTCAACAAACCGTTGTTTCCAAGGGTTTTAATCAAAGTTTAACGAACTACACTGCATTTCCAAATCAAAAGCGTCCAGAGTCGGCTTACATTAATTACACGGAGATAATTTGAACTAAAATAGAACATCTTTAAACTTTCACTTGAATGGTTAGAAATAATATTTGCGTTTACAATCCAATAACGTGGTAAGGATGAGAAAACAATAGATTATTTTTTGTATTACCTGAACAAACTCGGACATGCAAGAAAATCTAATAATCGAGTTCTTAGAACAAATAAAATAAATTAAAGCAGATTTTAGATTTGAAAATTATTTGAAAACAGAAATATCTGCAAGTACTCTTGACAGTGTAATATTAAATACTGTTCACTTATAACTAGTTATAATATTCGAACCTAAACAATTTAACTATAGCTGAAGGACTGTGCCCCTATATATTTGTAAGTTAACATAATAAACATTTTCAAATTTTGTTTTATTCTCTACTACTTTTGTAAATAAATAAATCCAGTTTTAGAACAGCACATTTCCCATAACCTAATGATAAATAACGTATACATTTGTTGAAAATGCTGTCACAATTATTTAAGGACTGTGCATTTATAATAGCAATTTCAACGATATCTTAACTTCAATATATTCATTACTTATTTCATTTGAAAATATACAACTACTGGTTCGAAAAAAACAAACAAACCGGCCTGTGTTTACCCCAGGAACTGAGATTAGAGGGGGTGTTCGTATTTTTCAGGACACGAAGGCCGAGGGGTGACACCGTGCGGGCGATTGGGGGCTGTATGGCACCATAATGAAAGCTGAAAAATGTTTCATGACCATTTTAGGTAGATAACTTCTGTAATCAACTATCAATACTATCTCAGTTTGCTGTTAGAAAACTATTGTGTATCGAAGAAAATAGGTAACTGTCAAATTGTATTATATAACTACTATATTTCCAACCAACGACAAAACATAACTACTATATTTCCAACCAACGACTAAACATAACTACTATATTTCCAACCAACGACTAAACATAACTACTATATTTCCAACCAACGACTAAACATAACTACTATATTTCCAACCAACGACTAAACATATTTTTATTCCATCTAGAAAAAATTTAAAACAACTAAGTCTAGATGGAAAAAGACTAAATTGGCAACACTGCATGTAACTAGTTGACCACTAGTTCAATGGTTCCCAACCTGGGATCCCCGGGGCCTGGTGGTTCGTGAGCTATTTTCATTAATTAAATAATGCATGGAAGAAAACAGAATGGGATCCGTTGGGGAAAAATTAATAATAAAAGGGATTTTTGGTAGTGAAAAGGTTGGGAACCACTGCACTAATTGTGGAAACTTTAGGGGTGTAGGAAAATTTATGGAACCAGCGGAGATGAATAAAAAAAACCACTTAACAATGTTGTTTGTTTGTTTGTTTTAGAGGAAAAACACATTGGGCTATTTGCTGTGTCTACCGCGGAGAATCAAACCCTGGATTTTAGCGTTGTAAGTCTGTAAACTTACCGCTATCTCACCGAGAAAATGTTAACAGGGTAAGGATAATTAGAAAGATATGATATCATAAGCGTACCCTAATCTACGAAAAAATAAATGACATGCTTCAATGTGGACTTTCGAATAATGAATGTTCAAACTTATATTCAGTAAGACATAGGAAGATCAGTGAAGACGTTCCTTTATTATTATTATCGGACCACTGTAACTCTAGTGAGGTTAATCTGCACTGCTAATGTATAAGACATAGGAAGATCAGTGAAAACGTTCCTTTATTATTATTATCGCACCACTGTAACTCTAGTGAGGTTAATCTGCACTGCTAATGTATAAGACATAGGAAGATCAGTGAAGACGTTCCTTTATTATTATTATCGCACCACTGTAACTCTAGTGACGTTAATCTGCACTGCTAATGTATAAGACATAGGAAGATCAGTGAAAACGTTCCTTTATTATCGCACCACTGTAACTTTAGTGAGGTTAATTTGCCCTGCTAATGTATAACATATATGCCATGATAAAATGTAAAGAAAAAGACGGCCTAAGCTTTGCGTTGTAATTATTTCTGTAAAGACATACCTTTCTAAGGTTTCTAATAGGCCTAAAATTATGTTTCACTTACATTTTTAACGATATCGATCTAGAATATATGGCGTCTTAAGCTTTTTTAGTGTAATTAGTTCAAAACACATGGGCGCCCCTTACATTTCACAAAAAATTGCACGTATTATGATGTAAACCTAACATCGTAGTTAAACTAGATGTTTTTAGTATATATTATTATAACTGTAAATTTATGTTTGCGTTTAAACACGCATAACACTTGTTATTTTAGTATGTTCACTTACACTGTAAAAGCTGATCCCCTACATAAATGTTTTGCCCCCCCCCCGAATATATTTTTGTGAGCGCCCATGTAAAGACATATAAGATTTCCTAATTGTTAACGTTTTTGAGTCTAGAAATGTCAATATTTTAACTTAGAAAATATTCAGACTATTCTATTAATTACGATAGAACGTGAACCAAACGTCACGAAATAAATAGGATTGTGTCAAATTTATTCTATATCTTATTTATAAATTTTATATATGTGTCTATCTTATACAGATTAACTTTGTGATAATACTTTAACCTATACCTAGTATAACTATGATACATGACTTTAAATAAGAAATTAATATTAAAGTAAGTCTGTTTGTTTTTATGAATTTCGCGCAAAGCTACTCGAGGGCTATCTGCGCTAGCCGTCCCTAATTTAGCAGTGTAAGAGTAGAGGAAAGGCAGCTAGTCATCACTAGCCATCTCTTGGGCTACTCTTTTACCAACGAATAGTGGGATTGGCCGTCACATTATAACACACCCACGGCTGAAAGGTCGAGCTTTTTTGGTTAGGAACGGG